AGAGCAATATATTTCAATATCAGACAACTGCTCATACAACAGTAAGTATGTAGATCCCAAATCTTCCTTATCTTGCTTTGACATAGGCCTAGAGAAGCCTCTGAGTATATCCAACTTGGCGTGCAGGTATTTTCCGCCAACTTCTACCTGTATTTGATTTCGCTTCAGCTGTAAGGTGAAAGCGATCTTTCCTGAGTGTGAGAAAGAGAATTAAGAAGTGCAAATTCGCTGAATCAGAGATAATCAACTCTATCCAGGCTGGTATGGCACAGGAGTGCTATTAATACCGCATGATGAAGGTGTGCTGATTTCCAAGCGAAAATGTACGGGTCGTATAGCAAGCAATACATAGAACTCGTTCTGAATTCTTTTAACCGCTTATTATAGGAATCTGTGACATGTCTTCGATTCTTCTCTCTTATTAAAGTCGGACAACTGCGAACTTCGGGAAGAAATTCGCACACACCTTGTAAAAGATGATTACATTATGGCCACGAATATCTTTTCAATACTTCATGTAAATTGCTTGAAATCAGCAGGGATTTCCATATAACCAAGTGGCCCTTTAACATGCACTCAAAAAGGTCCACTTCATTTGGAAATTCTCGCTTGTGTATGATTTGATTCTGACAGGCATTGCGACGGCGCGTCCGCTAACGCAACCGAGTCGTGACATGTGAGGACGCCTAGTTCATCCGGTGAATTTTATTTTGACACTCTCTTCTTCATTACTTGCGATGTAAGAAGCTTTGGTCTGACATACTCACATGAGCTGTGAATGGAAATGAGGTAATTGCGTCTCCAGAAGTGCTGATGGAATGAGAAAGTCTTCGAGCAGAACTTATCAGGTCATTCTCATAACCCTACCATCGTACAATCGCAGCAACTGCTCCCTCGGAGCTCCCAAAAATTGCGCATAACCCCCGTTTTCAGGGGTCATCGCGGGCAATTGGGAAAAGTTCCCATCCAGCAGTAACTGCACCTCCACAAAGCCTCATTGGTCAACCAAACATCTGAGGTGTGAGCTCCTATAAACTTGTGGCGTACATTCTGCTGCCGCTGTTAGAGGTTGTGCATACGAGGAAATTCTGTAGACAGCTGCTCCCTGGATTTTCGAACTATGCCATCGATTTCAAAAAGGGAATGGTAGATTCTAATAGGGATTTCGGTGAAACTAGTATTGCGAAGCAAAATCTTGACACTTTGTTTATTATTGTTGTCTTATTGAGACTGCGATACGGCAAGATGGCCAAC